TTTTGTTTGTTTTTTTTAGGGACAAACAGTTTTCTAAGCCTTCATTATAGAAGGGATAAAATAGGGCTCTGTAATGGAAGCTGACTGCAGCCTTATTTAGGAAGAGGCTACCACATCTCCATAATTCACTGAGCCATATATTAATACATTTTCTTTGAATAATTTATAATGTTGCTGTGCAAACTAGTTACAGTATTAGGAGTCCTAGAAATGTCAGATTTCAAAAAGTGTTCTATTGATAAACATATACAATGCAAAATACTACATTAATGCAATACTGAGGCTGTCTTTAAACCCGCTAAAGGTAGGAAATGCAGAGTTAAGGTTCCCATGACAACCTTTATATATGCAGTACTATGGTTTTAATTACCTGCTTTATCTATAACTCTATAAGCACCCTATTTTCATTTTATGGATTTTAAGAACACTGAGCACTATTTATAGTACATCTTAATTACACTTGCACCACTCAGCAAATCTCATATCTGAGTTAACTGTAGTAAACTGATGTATAGAAATATCTTTCGTAGTAACATTCTGTTGTCTGCAGATAAGTTAATTGTAGCTTACTTGCCTGCCCCAGTGTAATGTATTGGCTAGTCCTGTTTCTCAGAGTTACAGTAGCAGAACACAGATAATGCATTATAATATAGAGAGCTCCTGGAAGTCAAGGCAATCTAAAGGATGAGGTAAACTGAAACTAGTACCTAAGGGCAAGTTGAACCAGAATAAGGGTCACTTTATTCAGCTCAGCATGAAATTATAGTTTTTATATCCTACCCATTTACGTTGTTCCCCAACACTAGCATGTCCTTTACAAGGGCAGAGCTATTGCTTACTTTCCTCCTGCTTCCTTCACGGACAGCTTGACTGACAGTGTGAAATCCTTGCAAAGCTCTTATTAGGCTGCTAGGATCACTACATACCCCTACCCAATTCAGAGTTACTTTTTGTGAGTTACTGAGCCCTAGAAAGGGGCAAGTTTAGCTGCAGTTTTGGTCTATTAACTTGATCATTGACACTGCTAATCCTTTAAGGAGTGCACAGACTTGAAAGTTGGGGTTACTAGAGTCTAGTACAGGGGTGGCCAAATTTTTGGCCTGATGGCCACATCAGGGTTCTGAAACTGTATAGAGGGCCAGATAGGGAAGGCTGTGCCTCTCCTAGCCCTCTCCCACTTCCTGCTCCCCTCAGAACCCCTGACCAACCTGCCCTGCTCCTTGTTCCCTAACCACCCCTGCCCCCCAGCAAACCATCCCCTATCCAACCCCCCCCGCTCCCTATCCCCTGATTGCCCCAACCCCTATCCACACCCCCCACCCTCTGACAAGCCCCCCGGGACTCCCACGCCTATCCAACCACCCCCCCATCCCCTGAACATATTTTCCCCCCCATGAACCTCCACCCCATCCAACCACTCCCTGTCCCCTGACTGCCCCCCAGGACGCGCTGCCCCTTATCCAATCCCTCCGCTCCCTGCCCCCTTACCATGCCGCTCAAAGCACCAGGACTGGCAGCCGCGCCACCCAGCTGGAGCTAGCCACAGCACTGCACAGTCTAGAGCACCAGGGCATGCCAGCGGCTCTTGCAGCTGTGCTGCCTTGCAGGAGCTTGCAGCCCTGCCACCCAGAGCACTGGCAGCATGGCAAGGTGAGGCTGTGGGGGAGGGGGGGACATCAGGGGAGGGGCCAGAGGCTAGCCTCCCTGGCCAGGAGCTCAAGAGCCGGGCAGGAGGGTCCCGCGGACTGGATGTGGCCTGCAGGCCGTAGTTTGTCCACCTCTGGTCTAGTACTTAGACTTTTTGACCGCTTCTGGATGAGATCCTGAAGTATATAGGAGACTGCAGGGCAGATTATTTAGCAAAAGAGGACCTATCTCAGTGCAAGCAGGAAGTGATGCACCCTTTGGTGAATTTTGTAGGGGATATTTATTTATAGGCACCTCTAGAAAGTTCATAGTTTCTGGCAGTGAGAATCTATTTTAGGGCAGGGAACCTGCATGCCTTAAATTCTGTAAGTACTCAGTAAAAGTTTGGAAGACTGTCACCAAAAGCGCATAAGTAAAAAAGAAAAGAATATGTTTGTAAAAAAGCAGATTTGAACATCATCTAGTGATTTTCAGTTCTCAAACTACTAGTAGTACCTCTGGCAAATTTGTAGGGATAATATTAGATGTACAAAAATTAAAAGATGGGAATGAAGGCCTGGAAAAAAAACAACCTGTTTTTACGTTTGCAGTTGTCATTGGCATTAACCTGTTTAGAAATCCATAAATAAGTTGTTTAATTTATTGACAAACTAGCAAATATATTAAAGTAATCATCAGTTATTTAACACTGAATAAATAATTTGAACCTCGACTAAAGTCACCAATTACAAAGGGATAAAAATCCAGTGAACATCCTCAATGAACAACAGTTTGAAGGAAAAGAGCAAAGGGAAAAGTTATAAATCTTGAAATCCATATACGTTGGTCAGTAATAAAGCCTTGTATTTAACTCTATTACATACCACTTACTGCAATATATCAATACACATAAATATCCTACATCGTCATAAATGAGAAATTGTCATTACTATGTTAGCATACAATTTAATGCAAGATTGGAACATGACTACTCCTCAAAGTAAAAGGGAAGAGGAGATCAAATTCAAATAGTTGCTTGACTTTAGCTACATTATCTAGCTAGGAAGAGACTCTCTATCCCATCCACTGGCTCTTTTAGCAAAGATTCAAGGCGTCAAAATCTCTGCTGACATAAGTAGATATGTTCCATTGACGTCTGTAGTGTTTCAATCATTTATGCAATCAGGGAATTTGGCCCAATATCTTATAAGGTACTGTCATCTGAAATTTGACTCTAGGAATTTCAGCCTTCCAAACAATTTATAAAAAAGGGCAACAAGTTCTGCTGCTTAAACAGCTTAAATCTCTCAAGTCTTACTTTCCACTATAAAAGTGTTAAACTAACCCCTCATAGGAATTTGATAATTTCTTGTAGCTCAAGAATGGACAAAGAAACAGGATTGAAAGTGATAATTAGCCTATCTGCAAGTTGAAGACTCCCCAGGGGCCAGTCCTCTTCAAGCTGCTGGGGTTGTAGAGACAACAATGTAGAATCTTTCTAACAAGACAAAATACAGTCAGTTTCAATGGTGAAAAATCCAGGTACCAGGCAATAAGGTACAATTCCTAACTTTGGCCCTGATCTTCCAAGGGACTCTGTGTGGATGAAATCCTGAGCTCATTCAGAGGCCTTCTGAAGTTAAAGAGGCTCCATATAACTGTGATTCACCCCCATCCTGCAACCTGGGGCCCTTGATAGTATGCTGGTATCCTTAGGTATGAGAATAAAGAACATGGAGTCTTAATAACATGCAAATTGCAACTAAAATCTCTCAAGGTTTAAAAAAAAAATCTGCATTTTAAAAAGAGGCTACTGGGTTGACTGAGAATAAAGTATGTTGAAGAATTAACTCCGAGTCAAAAATTGTAGAATTCTGGTATTCCTGAGCAAATCAACATTTACTAGTATTGGCGGAAGAAGGAAAAAAGATACCTCTTCTATTAGGTTTCAGAGGAGCAGCCGTGTTAGTCTGTATCCGCAAAAAGAACAGGAGGACTTACGGCACCTTAGAGACTAAACAATTTGTTAGTCTCTAAGGTGCCACAAGTACTCCTTTTCCATTAGGGTTAGAACTCTTAAGATTACTGAATATATAGTTAATTAGAAAACAAAAACTATGTTTAGTGACAGTTAAGGTGGTGGCAGGACAAACCCTCATCTGTGCAAAACCTTAAAAGCACAGAAACAAGAAATTAAGGGCAAAGATTCCTGCATTCATTTCCACATTCATATTGCCCCCAACAATAATTCACTCCATAATTACTCCCATTCGCCTTTTACTTTCATCAGTTGTAGACACCCAAAAGGAACAGGTACCCCAACTTCATCAAACTAGCATCCTGCTGCAAAACCTTAAGTGATCTCATGCTTTCATATCAAGTGATCAGCATAGCTGATTGTTGCACATTCAGTGCATGTAGGATATTGTTTTGTTTTAACACTTTTGATATCCTGATCTTTTATGGAGCTTTGCTTTACCTCAGTAGATAGTTATTCAGAAACAAGGAAAAGGGGAGCAGCACTTGGCTGGGAATCACAGAAAAACTGTACTGTTGAAGCTGCTCCTGACTATGCCAGACCTCCTTCAGGATCTCAGAGGATGTGATGTACCTCAATAACTTTTTGGTCTAACATTTTCTCCCCATTTAAAAGTTAACGGAAGTAAGTACACAAAGAGCAGTTCTCCATGATGAACTGGTGATGGCATAGCCTTTCAGCAGGAGCAAACTTCCACGAACAAAGGAGTCTATGTCATCACTCCCCAAAACATAGCCTCTCATTGGCTTCTAGAAATGGATACAGCCAGGACTGGCTGCAGCAGCAAAAATGTGGCTATGCTAGCAGTTCTGCCTTTTGCACTCTCCTTTTGGGACCCAGTCCCTTCCTGTGTTAAGCATACGTTCTCAGCCTTCAAAAATGCCTATGCTGGATAACTCCAAGTATGACAGCCAATTGTGACATCACCCAGGGTACAATCTGGACTGATGGACAACTGTGTCCTCTCAATTTTCCTACCTGGGGTGCTCTTTACCCTGCTTTGCTGTGAGAGCAACCACTCCTAGCCTGCTCTCACACACTTCCAGCTATACGGTATGAGTGCCCACCACTCATGAATTATATTGCAGGCAAACACCAGCAAACTCCCAGTCCCAGGCTTCCCCCCAGCAATGTGCATTTTGTACTGCCCAGCACCCTCCTGGACAATACAAGCCCATATAAAGTCCACCATATATTTGTAGAAAATTATATCCGTAAGCCCTCTTATCCCAAATGGAGTTTCCCAAACACTTCAGTACAAACACACTCATTTAGATAAAACAACACAACTAATGTATTAAATACACAAAGATAGATTTTAATTGACTACAAGTAATGAGGCCTATGTCAGAATTGGTTACAAAGAAATAAAAGGTAAAGTGCAACTTAAGCTAAGTGAATACAAAGCAAAGGTCTCTCTCACCAGTGTTCCAGCAATCTTACTGGCTGAACCTCTTTTAGTCAGGATCTCTTCTCCTGCCCTCCATCTAGTGCTGCTTCCTTTGTTCTTCAGGGGTTGATGCTGCCATGGGTAGAGAGCAAGGGAGAGATGACTTGGGGCATGTGCCCTCTCCTCTTATAGCCCTTTCTCTTTGCAAGAATCATCTCCAGCTGATGTTCAGGAGACAGAAAGTCGGTGTGGCCAGGAACCTTAAGCTGCTTCTTTGTCAAAATGTAAATCTTTTGCCCACAGCCTCTCTCCTTGATCAGGTGATGGTCCCTTTGATCCCATTGACACCTCGCTGAGGTGTTGGCTAGCCTTTCATCTCTGGGAAACTTGTTTGTGACTGCCCTCCAGAACATGTTGAAACATGTCCCAGTAATATCACAGTGGAATCTTATATCTTTACATACAATGTTGCCACTCAAATTTACCAGGACAATAATGATCAGCTAATCATGAGTTTTCAAATGCTACGTTACACAGTCTGCTTTGTACAAAATTTAACATAGTCTTGTAAAAGGGGTGAACATAGAGATACAGACTGTCACACCAATTATTGGCCAATGCTGGGAATTGAACTGGTGACCTCCAGAGGTTTAAAAAAAAAAGTTTGCCCCTTAACTGCTTGAGCACGGCTCTCAGGTGACAGGTATCACACATAGGCACCAACTCCGTGGGTGCTCTGGGGCTGGAGCACTCATTGGGAAAAAATGGTGGGTGCTGAGCTCCCCACCACCTCACTCCCAGCTCCTCCTGCCCCCGGCAGGGCCTCATGAATCAGCACCTCTCCCTCCCCCCCATACCTCTTGCCCACTGTGATCAGCTGTTTTGCGGCATTCAGGAGGCTCAGGGGAGACAGGGGAGGAGCGAGGATGCGGTGCGCTTGGGGGAGGGAGCAGAACTGGGAGGGAAGAGGTGGGGCAGGGCCTTGGGGGATGGGTTGGAGTGCAGGCAGGGCATGGGGCAGAGCCGGGGGTTGAGCACCCACCAGCACTTTGGAAAGTTGGTGCATGTGGTATCACAGACTTATAGCCCGTGTGGCTTGGACACAGCACATATGTATGCACTGCATCTGGGAGTGAGCCTCTCAGCCCAGGTCACAGACTCACACTAACATACTAAAAATAGCTTTGGAGATGTTGCAGCAAGGCTCTGAGGCCTGGGTGGGTGTGTGTCAGAGCCTGAGCACCAGCTTGTGTTTGCAATGTCAAAGCACTGTCTATACAGCTATTTTTAGCATGCTAGCGCAAGCCGCACAAGCACAAATCTGTGGACGTAGGCTAGGAGGCATGCTCCAACATGCAGTGCAGACATACCCAGAAAGGACATATAACACACACCCACCATATTATTTCTTTGAACTGACCAGGAGAGGGCTGGACATTTCAGGGCACATGGTTTTGAGAAAATTTGGGCATGCATTGGAGTCACTGCAAGTAGTAACTAAGGCTCGTGGAAGCCAGAGTGGGGCCACGAGGCTGTAGACAGGCCACTGGGGTTAGAGCTGGTGAACCAGGGCTGTCTAGCACACAGATAGGATGCAACTTGTATGCAGGTAGGCTGGTTGTGGGTGGCATAGGTTGGGAGCTATAACAGCAAAGCATTGTGAGGTACTCAGGGTTAGAGGGTAGACAGTGACACAATCCCTGACTGCTTTGGATTGTACCCAGAACATGACATTCATAAAAGCTAAACAGATTAATATTTTTCATTACCTTCCAAAACTTGCACACTGTTGTCCAAAAGTACTCCCTTTCAGGCCCGTTTGTCCACTCTGGATAGACCCAAAAGAATCAAGCATGATAACCAAAGGCTTAATGTCTTTTTACTAAGGTTTGCTCTAGTGGACCTCTCTCTTCTGTGCTACATCTCTTCAGGCCGTAAAGAATATCCGCATGACTCCTAGCAAAAGGAAGAATGAATGCAGACCCATCAACCACTGATCTGCAAAACACCCTTGAAACTATCACCAACATCTTCTGAAAGTGATACGTGGGAAAAAGAAAGCCTGTTTTCACGAGCATTGCAATAATAAAGTTCAAACATAAATGGCCACTAGCTTGCGCTGCCCCCCTTACCAGGTTTCCCACAAGTTCAGGGACTGTAATATTTCCTAGCCCTTCTATTGGGATCTGGGGAAGGTGAATCTGCCCCTATATATTTACAAGTTTGTTTGTTTTAACGGGCAGAGTTTCCTGTGAACCCTGACCTAGTGCTTGACCGTTAGCAGCCACTTTTCCATTGCTTGAAAAATCTGTAGCTATATACTCTTTATTCTGACTCTCTTTTCTGCTGTTTTCTTTCCTATGAAGAACCACCAGGGAGCCCCACTGTTTCCTGTCAGGAAACAAGAGCCCTCTAATATTTTTCTCCTCCTCAAGGCAAATTGCCTCAGGGGGATAGCCTGATATTTTCCCAATTAATCCCTTGCCTCAAGGGCAAGGTCTCAGGAACCCCATATAGTAACAGTACTAAGAACTGACAGTATAAATCCATCTGCCAAAGACCTACTGTCACTCCCAACTGCCACAGAACCTTCTGATTTTAATATTCCATCCCTTCACCCTTTAAAGGAGCATTACACAATGTTCTACAGATGTGCACATTAATACGGAATATCCCTGTTTATGCTACTACATTAAGAGCATACCATCAAAAAGAGATCTCTATTCACTTTGATTTTATTCTGCTAATAATGATTACCTTTCCTTTGGTGATTTTTTTCCAGGCTGTACTGCAGGGACCATTACAGGACTTCATTCAGTTGCCTGGGGATGGCTGGAATGACCATCCTGAGACTGCATCCCACATGCAGAAATTGAAAGAAGATTATTTAATAACTTCAAACCTCATGGCTATCATAGAGCTAACAGAAGAACTAGGAAGCCTGTGATATCCCTTCCCTCGCTGGCCCAGCGATCCCTGTTTGTCCGCTGGCCCCACCACACCCATTCTCGCAGGCACATCTTCTTTCCCACCTAACAGCAACTGGTCCAGTTCATCACGTAAAAGTTCTGTCTTCTTTTGCCTGCTTATTAGCCTGTCCTATTATCTGAAAGTTCCATTGTCTCTGTACCCCAGTCTCCCTAGTCAACCAGTCTCCCTAATAAAGCTCATATTTTCCACCTGAGATCTCTGCCTCCTCACAATTCTTGAAAGCAAAGATGTCATCCCCCATGCTTGTGTAACTCACATACTTATACTGCAGAATTATTATTATTATTTTATTATATTAATTTATAAGTCCAAAGAAATGGAGAGAAGCAGTGGGGAGGAGACATGGGTTTTAGTTGAATCATCTGTGTCTGTGCATACATGCAGAGATCAGGTCATGGCAACTTAGAAAGGCCCAGAAACATCTCGAGGAGGAAGGTATGTGATAGTTACTAGACATGCTCAATAGCTCTTTTTAAAGCTGTACAGAAATTTTCCATTAAAGGCAAGCAGTCTGTCAGGTCCACACATTCACCCTCGGAGAACTGAGTCAGAGGTCAGGTGGGAAAGGTTATAAATATGGGGGTTAGAGAGAGCCCTAGAGAATCAATGGCTGATCAATGCATAGCTAAGGGATCTGTCTGCTATGAAGGCTGCGTCCCAATACCTGTACCATTTTGGGTATAGATTCTCTGTTTTGCTAGAAGATGGAGACAGTCAACTATTAGTTCAGGCATTGAAATTTGCTGCTGGCTGCTAGGCTCTTAGGACTGCTGTTTTGCTGAGGATATTCTGAAGTATTTGGGTGGGACCTTAGAGGCTTCTGTTCTCCTTAGGCTCTGAAGAATCTAGGTGACACACACACACATTTTGAGGCCATGCTATAGGGACTGAGAAATCCTCTCTGTGAGAATGTCTCTCTATGAGTGTACCAAAATATAAAATTATATATGGTCTTTTGAAACCTTGCCCAGAAGTATACGCAACTGCAACAAGTGGGGAAGTCTGTACAAAGAACACTAATAAGTTTACTGCTAAATAGTCTTGTTTAAGAGGTTATTCAGAAGTATTCCAAATACTGTTTGGAAACATTTGTGTATGTGTTAAATGTTTGTTCACTAAGAAATTGCATAGTATGCTCTCTTTGAAGCTGATTGACAGCTGTTATTAACACCTATGTTCAGGGGTTTGCACACTATAGCTCTGAGTTTTAACTCCATTTTATATGTTCTGAAGTCTTGAAAACACCAAACCCTGGCTTGTGCTTCAGCACAGAGGCTGTGACAGAGTGTGAGTAACCTCAGGCTGACTCTCCACACTTTGCAAGCTTCCCCATGTGGGCCAAATTGAAGAGATAATTGGTTAACGATTGTATGAGTAAACAACTAACAAGGTGATTCAGCTTGTCAGCTGGGGACAGTTAAAAGAGAGATAGGAAGAAGAAATCTGGAAAGAGGGGCTGGAGAAGTCCAGGATCTTATTGTAATCTTTTCTCTTTCTCCTTGTGTGTTGGGAGAAGGTAAGAGCCTTATGTTGTAGGGAACAAGTATCTGTATAGCATATTGTCAATAAAGCATGTGGTGTTGAACTTCTGCAGGAGTTTATAAGGACAGTTTGCGGTAAGGAATTCATGGTGAGGGAATACTTCCTTGTGATAGAGGCAAACTGAGATGCAAAAAAAAGGGGAGTATGATAGTTATATATAATATTATCTCAGCAGTTACACCTGTTTATTGTCTTATCCCACCATCCTCCCTTGTTTATTTATGCTGTGGTAGTCACATGAGGCAGTGCTTAGTGAGTGAGCCAGATATTGGTATTTAGGAAGCAGAGAAAGGGGAGAGGCCTGCACCTATGTAAGGGGGCTGTTTGCCCCTTACTGAAACTTGGTGATATTTATTTATTGGTTGTCCCTCTTCCACTATTAGAAAAAATGGAAAGGGCCAAAGAGAAGTCAGGATCCTGAAACTGGTGCTGCCAAGGGGAGAGGGCAATGTTACCAACTTGTGATTTTGTCATGAGTCTCATGATGGTTATTTTTCTTAAAGTCCCAGCTCCTTGAGTCAAGTGGATATGTGATGATTTCAGCCTTCATTCTTAAAGGAAAAAGTAAGTTTCTAGTCCTTATGGCTGTGAAGAAGGCTTCAAAATCTGACCCCAGTACACCCCAAAGGTTAAAAAAGCAGAAAGCAAATAAAAAGAACATCAAATCTATTATTACTACAGAATCTCATGATTTGTGGTGAGCCTGACTCATAATTTTTGAATATTAGGGGTTGGCAATACTGAGAGGACAAGGCTCTAAGTCAGCCAGATTGACAGGGAAGGTAGGCCAAGAAGGGAGTCAAAAGCCCAGGGGCCCATTCTCCCTGTGAGATGGGGCTGCCTGAGCCAGAGTGGGCAGAGCTAAGGAGAGAGCAGCAGCCAGAGCTGGGTGGGAGAGAGAACTGCAGCCCAGGAACAGAGAAGGCAGAGCTGAGCTGAAGGCAGAGCAGCAGCTAGAACCAGAGGGGCTAAAGAAACAGCCGAGAAGGTAGTCAGGCTGGAGGCAAAGCAGCAGCAGTCACACTGAGCCAGAGGAGGCTGCCTCTCTCCAGTTACAGTTTGTAACAATATTCTCTCATAAGATGACTATTATTTGCAAGGTGTTGTTACCTTGTCTTCCCTCTGTTTTCAAGTTTAAACTATTTTTTTTTGTTTCTTTGTCTGCTAGAGATGTTTGAACCCACTTCCCTTTCTTTCCATTGTATTCCAGGGGAAAAGAAACCCCATCCTGGACTTCTTACACCAGTAGCTAAGGAGCCAGCTCTCCCTAGGCATACATCCGGTCCTGGATTGCCATTTCTCAACTGTGCCAGAACATCTTGGTCTGACTCCCTCAGTGCTCCCTGGATGTGTTGCCATTCTACAAGCAAATCAGCAGCACGTATGAGAGCGCCATACGAACCTCTTACGTGGCATACCCCAGTTGCATTGCCATTATAGTTTAAGTGCAGTTATTCACTTGCACAGCAAGACAGGGATCTGGTCCTCTAGTTTTGTCTTCCCTTATACACTAAGACATAAAAGTGTAAGGAATATGTTGTCCTTATCGGCGATGCCATCAATTATTGGAGGAGAGACCTGAGAGGCTTGCATTTATCAGGGCAGATAAAGAGCCTTTCAGGTTACCTTCACAATGTATTTATTTGTAATTTTTAAGTTCACAGATATATTTTTCTTATGTGGCTTTTAATTATTTTTTAACATTTCAGTGCAAGTATTTTCAAGTACTTTTTAATTTGCTCATTATTGAGCAAAACCGAGTAAGATCTCTGTACTCTCTCCTTCACTTCCAACCTATTAAGGTCTCAATCCTGCAGGAATGTAGATAAGGATTGTGAAAGTGCACTTCTGAGCTGTGGATGGGACTGCTCAGCATGATGCTTTGTTATTCGTGACACAATAAGGTTAAGTAAACAGAGGGGAGTGGGCGCTGCTGGCTGTTGAGCTGGCAAGAACACTGTGCCCAGTATTTATTAAATAATAAATCCTGTTCACTCAGTGTCAATTTCCCCATACTGGGTCACTTCTTGTGGCAAAACTAACCTTTTTACTCTGTTGTTCCTGCCCTTCCACAAATGTAGATGTTACTTTTATAAGCTATGACCTTATTGTCCTTGAGGGAACTGATTGCTGTGGAAGACACTGGGTATATGTTCCTTTATTTTATGGAAAATGCTTTATTAGATCCTTTGTTTATATAAAGGGAGTTCCAAAACTTTAGTGAGAGGTGCCTTACAAATGTATACAATACAATAATGAAAATATGCATTTTATCTCTTCCTTGTATAGAATGTAATCGGTTATCAAGTATTTGAATTACTTTTGGATTAAAAATGCGAATATGGAAAATAATAGTATCCTAGCATACAATTAAATAACCATCTTGTGAGATGCAGGTGGGGAAGAATATGGGGTGTTTGTTTGTTTTTATGCATGTTTTGAAAAAATCTTGACAACTATCATCATAGGTCATTTTCTTGAACCACCACCCTTGGATTGGCTAGTTGTTCAATTATTATCCTTCTGTTTAGGACAGCAAAGAGTCAATGATTTAGAAAAATTAGAAGAGGGAATGAGAATTTTATTTGCCTGCTTTTGGAGATGAGGTAATAAAATGGTATACTATTCTCGCACAAAATAACTAAGTCCCCCCACAACTCTACGAACACTTATGCACATGCTTAACTTTACAGCCATGAGTAGTCTACTATTCACGTTAGTAAAGTTAAATATGTGTGTAACTGTTTGCAGGATCAGGGCCTAACCAGCAGTTGGAGAGGATATAAGTGACCATGCAATCAGTCTACCTCTCATTATTACTGGTTGAGGGCAAAAAAGAATTAGTTGAGGTAAAACTTGTATTATACTATCTGGTTTGGAGGAAACACCATCACTTTTCCTCTAGAGATTTGATCATAGATTTAAAAGATGATGATGATAATAATAATAATTTAATCCTAAAAATAAGGCCTCTGACCAATAGGGATGACTGCAGATGATTTTAAATAAAAGAAAGAGAATCTATCCTAAAATGAGCCAACATGGCCCTTCCCCAAACCACATACCAGTGCTAAAGCCTATGTGAACGTAGGTGCAATGGGAGAACTGTTGGACAGCAAGAAGAAGGGGAGGAAAGGCCTTGGGAAGAAAGGAGATTGTAAATCTTATATGGATTAAGACGGGAAATAAGGGTGAATAGTCTCCAATTGGTTTTTAGCTGAAATCAGTAAATGGCAATGACATCACTTGTTTGTTAAAGAGAATAAAAAGTAAACTCTGAAAGGGCTCACTGCTAATACCTGCCTGACCATGCTGGAGC